TAGAAGGGTTGGTACTAGAGGTGGGTTTCAGCAGGTTCTGACCAGTTCTGGAGAACCGGTAGCGGAAATTTTGAGTAGTTCAGAGAACCAGTAGTAAAAATTCTGACTGGTCCCATCCCCATCTACTCTCTGCCTCCCAAGTCCCAGCTGATTGGGAGGAAATGAGGATTTTGCAATAACCTTCCCCTGGAGTGAGGTGGTAATGGAGATTTGACAGTATCCTTCCTGTGCCACGCCCACCAAGCCACACCCACAGAACCGGTAGTAAAAAATGTTTGAAACCGACTACTGGTTGGTACCATAAGATTGCTATTAACTAGCTTGAGATTTTAAATGTAGCCAAAAAAAAAGAAAAGAAAAAAAGGGTTAGATAAAGAAGATTGTAGGCACTTCCCCCCCCCCAATGTTTTATTGGGGAATTAAATTGCGTGATATTTGGATTAATATTGTCAAAAAAAAAACAACAACAACCAACACCACCTCTGTTCTGGAGAGTTTATGCAGGCTTTTTGTTTTGTTTTGTAAATCTCTACCCCCCCTCCCCCTTTTTGAGGGATTAAAGCTTTTTTAAAAAGGAAAAAAGAAAAAGAAGGGAGGGAGGAAGGAAGGAAGGAAGGAAGGAAGGATAGGAAGAAATATCCTTCTGGGTTCTGCTCCAAGTGGGGAAAAAGACACTGGAAACATGGAGACTGCTTGGAAAGATGGTTTAATGGTGGACAGGATCACATGGTTTGAGTTCCTGAACAGAAAAAGGGCAGAGATTTATTTAGTTATTATTTATTTTATTGGATTTATATACCGCCCTACTCCCGAAGGACTCAGGGCGGTGAACAGCCACAGAATAAAACACATAAATACAAAAATTTAAAATAGAATAAAAACGAATTAAATAATTTGGCTGAGACAAATTTAAAATACCCAATAAATTAAAAACAAATTTACATTTACATTTAAAAGGGGAGCAGATTTAGATGCTGAGAGTGCCTTGGTTTTAGGCCCTCTCTGGCTTTGAACTTCCTGGGGCCCAGAAAGCGTATCCTGATTGGTTGTCAGACTCCCAGGGGGTGGGGGTCTTAGCTAGCCTTGCTGGCGGATGTAATCTTCCCAGGGGCCATGTGGTGAGTTTCTGTCTAGATGGGTCCCATTGTGTTAGTTTCTGTTGCTATTGAGTTGAAGATGAAGGTCCATTGACAAAAATTGAGTTTCTGCCTCTGGCCCATTAACAAAAGGGTGGGGGCTGGAAGGTGGGAGCTGCTTTGTCATTAAAAACATGCTTCTCCATTTCTCATGCAGGGAAACATAATATTCTGCCTTTTTAATATTTCCCAAAATATTTCATTCTTCTAGGAAAGGGATGGGTGCTAACTTCCTATGGAAGGAAGGAAGGAAGGAAGGAAGGAAGGAAGGAAGGAAGGAAGGAAGGAAAGAAAGAAAGAAAGAAAGAAAGAAAGAAAGAAAGAAAGAAAGAAAGAAAGAAAGAAAGAAAGAGAAAAGCTACATTTCAAACATATTTATTCATTCCCTTTAAACCAGGGCTGTAAAACTTAAGATCCACCTACATATTTTTTGTAACCGGATTGTAGCACTGCACTGTTCCCTTTTGCAACGTTTGTTGCATTTAGTGTGAATTCCCTTAGCAGAAAACATAGTATCTCAGATTTGTTAGTGCTGGTCTCTAAAGCTTTTATCAGTTCCACCCAATACAATTTAAATAAAAAGGTTGCAAATTCTATTCTATTCTATTCTATTCTATTCTATTCTATTCTATTCTATTCTACTCTACTCTACTCTACTCTACTCTACTCTTTCTATTTCTATTTCTATTCTTATTCTTATTCTATTTTATTTTATTCTAATTCTATTCTATTCTATTCTATTCTATTCTATTCTATTCTACTCTATTCTACTCTACTCTACTCTACTCTTTCTATTTCTATTCTTATTCTTATTCTATTCTATTCTTTCTATTTCTATTCTTATTCTTATCTATTTTATTATAATTCTATTCTAATTCTATTCTATTCTATTCTACTCTTTCTATTTCTATTCTTATTCTTATTCTATTCTATTCTTTCTATTTCTGTTCTTATTCTTATTCTATTTTATTATAATTCTATTCTTATTCTATTCTATTCCTATGTTATTACTATTACTATTACTATTCTATTCTACTCTACTCTTTCTATTTCTATTTCTATTCTTATTCTATTCTATTCTAATTCTATTCTAGTCTATTCTTTCTATTTCTATTCTTATTCTATTTTATTATAATTCTATTATAATTCTATTCTATTCCTATGTAATTACTATTTCTTTTCTTTTCTATTCTGTTCTATTCTATTCTATTCTACTCTACTCTACTCTACTCTATTCTTTCTATTTCTATTTCTATTTCTATTCTTATTCTTATTCTATTCTATTCTTATTCTTATTCTATTCTATTCTAATTCTATTCTATTCTATTCTACTCTATTCTATTCTTTGTATTTCTATTCTATTCTATTCTATTCTATTCTATTCTATTCTATTCTATTCTATTCTATTCTATTCTATTCTATTGTATTGTATTCTGTCCCGCGGCCGATTGCAATCCCAGGTGTGCAAAAGGCGCCAATATAAGAACCACCGAAACTTAAAATATTTTTCAAATTCAGCAGGCAGCCTTAGGCAGACGCCCGGACTTCAACTCCCAGAATTCCTGTGTGTGTGTGTGTGTGTGTGTGTGTGTGTGTGTGTGTGTGTGTGTGTAAAGTTCATTAAAGCTGCAGACTTTAGAGCAGGGGGTCTCCAACCTTGGCAACTTTAAGACTTGTGGACTTCATTTCCCAGAATTCCTCAGCCGGCTTAGGAATTCTGGGAGTTGAAGTCCACAAGTCTTAAAGTTGCCAAGGTTGGAATCCTTCTGCTTTAGAGAAACTTCTGCACGAAAAAGTCCGTAGAGATTCTCAGTCCTCCAGGTCGTGGTTGTCTGTCAATGGTGAAATCTGGTTTTTTTACTACTGGTTCTGTGGGCGTGGCTTGGTGGGCGTGGCATGGCTTGGTGGGCGTGGCTTGATAGGGCATGGCAGGGGAAGGATACTGCAAAATCCGCTTTCCCTCCCCACTCCTGGGGGGGAAGATATTGCAAAATCTCCATTCTCACCCCACTACAGAGAAAGGATATTGCAAAATCCCCATTCCCTCCCCACTCCTGGGGGGGGAAAGATACTGCAAAATCTCCCTTCCCACCCCACTCTGGGGCCAGCCAGAGATGGTATTTGCCAGTTTTCCAAACTTCTCCACTACCGGTTCTCTGAACTGCTCACAATTTCCGCTACCGGTTCTCCAGAACCTGTCAGAACCTGCTGGATTTCACCCCTGCCCAAAGGTGCTTTTTCAGGAGGCAACTGGAACTTCTTCAGAACTGAAGAAGCTTCTTGGATGAGAAGTGAAACATCTTCAAAGGAAAAAAACAAGAAAATCCAGTAAAAGCACCTTTAGGTTAACCCCTTTACTTGCCCTGTTTTTCTAAAGCCAGTGAAAAGTAAAAATACAGGTCATTTCCCCATGTTAGAATCGTGGCTTTAAGAGGATGACTTATATTTCTCCCAATGGAAACAATAACAAATGGTTATTGTACCTACCTGTTTCTAAAGGGAAAGTATGCGGTACATGAGATGCTTGCTAAAAATATTTAAAATTCATACTTAATCTAAATCTTCTCCCCTTTTTAAATGCAAATTTTAATGTGTTTTTAAATTATGGGGTATTTTAAATTTGTTCAGCCAAATTATTTAATTCGTTTTTATTCTATTTTAAATTTTTGTATTTATGTGTTTTATCCTCTCGCTGTTCACCGCCCTGAGTCCTTCGGGAGTAGGGCGGTATAGAAATTTAAATAAATAAATAAATAAATAAATAAATAAATAAATATTTAATATTAAATACTGGGGTGGGGGAATCAGTTCCCTTTTTGAGCACATGATTGAATTACTCTAAAACCCAAAGATGGAAGGGATGCCCAGGTAAAATCCTCTGCCAGATCTCCAGGCTTTTGAAATCTACGTTCTTCTCCAGGCCAAAGGATCCCAATTCAGATTCCGGTTTAGACTAGGGCAAATACGAAGCAAGTTTTCACAAGCGCTTTATTTAAACGCTTTTAAAAACTTGCTTCGTATTTGTTTAAACTTTATTAAATTTTTACATTTGTTTAACCTTTATTAAATTTTAAGGGGAAGGGAGACAATAGGGAATTATCAACTTTTCCCACAAAAACGTGGGAATTGTATTTTATTGTATTCTCCGTTCCATTCCATATATTCTATTCTATTCTAAAGCTTCTTGGACAAGAAGCAAAAGCAAAGCTTCTTGGACAAGAAGCAAAACATTTTCAAAGAAAAATAAAAACCCCAAGGAAGTCCAGTTGCCTTTTGAGAAAAAGCATATTTGGGACAACTAGGACCTGGATGATTGAGAGACCCCATAGCTTAGATCAGAGGTCTTCAAACTTGGCAGCTTTAAGACTTGTGGATTTCAACTCCCAGAATTCTCCAGCCAGGCTGGCTGGAGAATTCTGGGAGCTGAAGTCCACAAGTCTTAAAGCTGCCAAGTTTGAAGACCTCTGGCTTAGATCTATTCACCTGGATGGCTCAAATGTCTATTTTTCACTATTGTACACCGAGAGCATATACACCAAAGACAAATTTCTTGTGTGTCCAATCACATTTGGCCAATAATAAAGAATTCTATTCTATTCTGAGAAAGATGTTTTGTATATGTATCATGTAACCTTAATGCTTTTGTAGAGGAAATGTTAAAAAAGGATCTCAGGATCCTGTTTCAATTTAGTAAGTTGAGGCAAGCTCTATAATTGCAATTCTAAGCTTAAGAAAGATGCTTTTTTTTAAAAAAAAAAAATGTATCGTGTAACCTCAATGCTTTTGTGGAGGAATTTTTTTTTTAAAAAAAGGATCTAAGGGATCCTGTTCCGTTTAGCAAATCGAGACAAGCTCTTTCCGAGAAAAGGTGGGTGGCTCTTAAAAGAGCCTTTTTTGGGGGTGTCGTTCTTGGGCGAGCTGAAGCCGGCGGGCCGGGAGAGCTCCTCACTTCCCTTTGGCCTTGTGGCTCTCGGTCTTCTTGGGCAGGAGGACGGCCTGGATGTTGGGCAAGACGCCTCCCTGGGCGATGGTGACTTTGCCCAGCAGCTTGTTCAGCTCCTCGTCGTTGCGGATGGCCAGCTGCAAGTGGCGCGGGATGATCCGAGTCTTCTTGTTATCCCGGGCCGCGTTGCCCGCCAGCTCCAGGATTTCCGCCGTCAGGTATTCCAGCACCGCGGCCAGGTAGACGGGAGCTCCGGCGCCCACCCTCTCCGCGTAGTTGCCCTTGCGGAGCAGGCGATGCACGCGGCCCACGGGGAACTGCAAGCCGGCGCGGGATGAGCGAGTCTTGGCCTTGGCCCTGGCTTTGCCGCCTTGCTTGCCGCGTCCGGACATCCCGATTCCTTCTTTGCAAGAAAAATAATAATAATATTAACTTCTTCTAACCTTTGCAGGCTAAACAAGTCAATGACTCCAGAAAGGCTCCAGCTCCCTTTTTATTTTCTCCCGGAGATTCAAATCGGCGCTTTCTATTGGCCGGTTCCAGAAACGAAGCGAGGCGGCCAATGAGCGAGCGGCGCCTTCTCGGCGTCCAATGAAAAAGCGGGGGCGTGTCCGCGCGCATTGTTCTGCGCGGAAGTCGAAAAGCGGCCAATCGCGGGGCGGCAAAGTTTGCCTCGTTCCCACGAGTTGGATAAATAGAAGAGCGGCGGACTTGGCAGCCGAGATCGCTTTCTAGTTTGTTTTTTTTTCTCTCTCTCTGTGTTGATATTTTGTTTTTTCCAGTTTGAGGATGCCCGAGCCGGCTAAATCTGCCCCGGTGCCCAAAAAGGGATCTAAAAAGGCGATCACCAAGACCCAGAAGAAAGGAGACAAGAAGCGCAAGAAGAGCCGCAAGGAGAGTTACTCCATCTACGTCTACAAGGTGTTGAAGCAGGTCCACCCCGACACCGGCATCTCCTCCAAGGCCATGAGCATCATGAACTCCTTCGTCAACGACATCTTCGAGCGCATCGCGGCTGAAGCTTCCCGCCTGGCTCACTACAACAAGCGCTCCACCATCACCTCCCGGGAGATCCAGACGGCCGTCCGCCTCCTCCTGCCCGGAGAGCTGGCCAAGCACGCCGTCTCCGAGGGCACCAAAGCCGTCACCAAATACACCAGCTCCAAATAAAAAAGGGAGCTTGAGACTTAAAAAGTCTCCTTCGCCCAGACCCAAAGGCTCTTTTAAGAGCCACCCACTTTCTCAACGGAAAGAGCTGTTCTCTATTGGCTTATTATTATTTTTTTACCTTAGGTGAAAAATAAGTTTGATATACATATATGCTGGTTTATACCTAAATCGTGACTTACTTTTAAGGGTGGAGGTGGAAGTGCTCTTCTAAGGTTAATAAGATTTCCATTTTAAATTTTAAGATTTTCTGGGGCAGCTTTGCATTTCCTCCTTGGCTGATAAGGTCCATCCACTTTTAATTTTTCCCTATTTGTCTCGGGGAAGAAGCTTCCCCTTCCCCCCAAATCCTTGCATCATGCAAACAGCATTCAGTGAGCACCATCTTAACACACAAAATTATCAAATTGGCTGGTAGGTAGCAAAAAATGTTCCTCCCAAATTGTGCTGCCTGAAGACTTATATCCCCTTCGGAAAAGGGAAGGTGGGGGAAGCTTGCTTGGATTGTTTAAGTTTACTTAGGGTTTGTTTGTTTTTTTTCCTATGTTAGGATTTGGTTTTTCCAACACCCTGCAAATCCTCAGATTGCTGTTTTTTTAATTCGGTAATTAAATCCAAAATATGTTATTCGTTGGCTTCATTTAGCATTTTTCTCATAAGCAAAAGTAGCTTTACATTTTTATTTTTTTTTACCAAGAGGGATCGCTAAATATTTCTCGGTTCTTGAAAGGTTAGGTTTGGGGGAAGTTGTCTAGTTTTCTCCTGAAATTATATAAAAAATGTTCTTTCAGTCAGAGTTAGCTTTTAGGCTCTAAAAGAAGGCAGAAAGAATTCCCTTTAAAAGTGATTTTTTTTTCTTTTTAATCTGCCAAGAAGTGTGTGAGGCTCTTTAATTTCCATTTTAAATAAGATTTTTCTGGGGCCTTCCTTCTTGTATTTCCTGCCTAGCTTGATAAGGTCCATCCACTTCAGTTTTCCCTTTGTTTTGGGCAGCCCCCCCAAATGCTTGTATCATGCAAAGGGCATTTAGTTAGAACAATCTTTGCATAAAGTTAGCAAATAGGCTGCTATGGAGCCAAATGTCCCTCCAAATTGTGCTGACTGAAGGATTTTGTTCCCCTTCTGAAAAGAAAGAGGGGAGCCCACTTGAGTAGTTTTAATATTGCCTTAAATGTTTAGATCCCTTTAAGAGCTACCTACTTTGTCGAAAAAGGAGCTCAAAGTTTCAAAAAGATAATAAGTGTCTTGCATCCAAGAATAGGTTGCTAATATGTATCTTTCCTTACAGCCAGCTAAGCCTTGTCACGTCACCTCACATTATTTTGTTCATTTGTTTCTGTACTCTGCATCATTTTGCTCTGTGTTTAGAACAATAGACATAGTTTGGGAGGTAAAGCTTTTAACAACACATGTGCAGACCTGAAATAAGCAAGAATGCACACAGTTCCAATCAGAGATCTGAAGGAATCATTGAAAATATTGTCTGTACATCAGTGCGTTGAAAAAGCATCTAAAAAGCAATTTTCCTGACTAAAAGAGTTCAGACAGGGAGTTGCAATACAATAAGGATAGGAATTGCTGGTGTTTTTTAGCATCCATGTGTAAAGGACGTTCACTGTTTTAAAATCAGCAATATAGAAATTGTATATTTTGCTAAGAAGGACTTTCAGGAAATTTTTCTAGAGCGGGTGTTACCTATAATTAAAAGAAAGTTTTGAATCAATCACCAGAGAATGGCCCCCAAAACTGATAATTTATTTTATCTTTAAAAATAAACAGACATTTCCTTTCCTGCCATGATAATTTTTAAACATATCCAAAGTACAATCTAGTAGTAAAATCTAGAGCACGCAATACATAAAAAGGCTTTTATTAATTTAGGAAGTATGAATAATAAGCTATATAAAATCATATTACACAGACATACAGTATATGTATGTATAAATTTGATATATAAGCAGTCAAAAGGAAGGGAGAAAAAAATAAAACTGCGAAATAAACAGAATTTTACTACTGAAAATCAAGAGAGACAGAAAACTCATCACAAAAACCACTGGCATCACACACAAACATAAATGAGAATTTCTAAATTTTACAAAGCACATACAATGTTCAGATGTTTTGTTAATCTTTTCATTTCTTGGCTATTCCATCATCAGGACAATTTACAGCTATTTTTTATTAGAATTTGATAGAGCGAAGGGCAAGGAGAATGGGGAGTAAACCATTTCTGCTTCATTCTGCCTCTAGTAAAAATGTATATATTTCCTTCTCCCTGATTACTTTGTAAAAGGAGGAGCAAAGCCAGGAGAAAAATAGAGATTTTGTTGGTGTTTTTTTTCTAGAGTGGGATCATCCACATCACATCCAAATAAAAAGTTTCCCCTCGAATCCAAGCCCTGTTTACATGTAAAGTAATACAATGGTTTACTTTGCAATATGTTGGGATTTCAGAAGAACAATTAGAAATTCTCTCAAATATGCAAATTTGGGGCTCTCTGTCCAATGTTTTGATTTTATTTTTTTTCCTGGTGGAAATCTGCTGCCCTAAAAGCTATACTGATTTAATACTTTAATATGGGGACCATATTCCGGGAATCATCTTAATATAAAAGATATATTCTAGTCCCATTCACAGCTATCTAGAAAGAAATGGGTGTGTATTTATTTTATCAGTTATTCAAGTATTTCAGATCGATTCTAAGCTGCCGGTCTATGGGCTTTTTTTTTCAGCTGCTCGTGTCTTGGAAATAACATAAAAAGCGTATTAAAACTACGGCTTTCAAATAAATCAATTTTCCGAAAGGAACACCCCCCCCCCCCGCCGCTCTTGACAATAGCTTTACTTCGCGCCAACAGAAAATGTACTGATTGGCGTGTTTGAAACTCAAGCGGCTCTTTCTGATTGGACGAAATCGAATTCACCGGCCATCGTTTCAAGGCGGGACGTTGGTACTAATTCCTTCTCGTAGTTTTCCTTCTGGTCGGATTCCTCTGTATATAAGGCGCCAGCGCACGGCTGGTAAGTCAGTAGTTCTTCTGCCTAAGGAGCGAGAGTATCGTAATCATGTCTGGACGCGGAAAAGGAGGCAAAGGCTTGGGGAAAGGAGGCGCCAAGAGGCACCGGAAAGTCCTTCGCGACAACATCCAGGGCATCACCAAGCCGGCGATCCGCCGTTTGGCTCGTCGCGGAGGCGTGAAGCGTATTTCGGGCTTGATCTACGAAGAGACTCGCGGCGTCCTGAAGGTTTTCTTGGAAAACGTGATTCGCGATGCTGTCACCTACACCGAGCACGCCAAGAGGAAGACGGTCACCGCCATGGACGTGGTCTACGCCTTGAAGCGCCAGGGCCGCACTCTCTACGGCTTCGGCGGTTAAAACCTTCGAAAACTTTTTTCAACTTCGCTCCAACAACAAAAAAAGGCCCTTTTAAGGGCCAATCAAATTTTCTTTAAAAGAAGCTTGTTGGTCACGATTTAAATTTCAAAAGGAAACCTTTGGTATTAAGAAGGGTAAATAAAATAAAATAAAACAAAAAGGCAGGCTAAGTTTTTTTCTGCCGTCAGTTTTCTATTTCTACGTTAACTTAATTACTTCATTTTTCTTGACTGTACACCGCCTTGAGTCATACGGGAGAAAGGCGGTATAGAAATATAATAAATAAATAAATAAATTACGGGTGCTTTACTCTAAATATATGTAAATACGTGAAATTAATTTACATAAATATAAATTAAATGCATATTTAAATATTTATGCAGTTTTTTGCATCGTTTCATGTAGTCTGAATCTTAATTGGCCCGTGCTGGAAAAAGCGTATGGGTGCTGAGATTTTTACTATTTTATATGAATAAACTGACATTTCTGGGTTAACTTAAAAAGCATCCTTTAAGAAAACCAGAGGTTAAATTATATGTAATTCGGGGCAGTTGGGGATTGCTTTCATATGAGATGCTGTTCTTTTGCGGAATGAAACTGCAACATTTAAGCCAACGGCTTCTGCATAACAGCAACTGTATCAAAGGGAGCTTAGTGTAACATGAGTAGCTCAAACGATTAGGGCGAAGTTTCTTTTTCTAATTCTACAACAAAAGCTTTATATACACACACCCGTAGATATATACACTGCTCAAAAAAATAAAGGGAACCCAAGCAGAAGACATCCGAGATCTGAATGAATGAAATAGCCTTATGAAATACTTTGTTCCTTACATACAGTAGTTTTGTGTTCCCTTTAGTTGTTTGATCAGTGCATAAACTACTGTATGTAACGAACAAAGTATTTCATAAGGCTATTTCATTCATTCAGATCTCGGATGTCTTCTGCTTGTGTTCCTTTTATTTATTTTTTTGAGCAGTATATATATCAAATTTGTCGTGAATGCGACTGCTTGGGGGCTCCTAGATTGGAGCTGAAAGGCAAAAGGGAGCAGAATGCCCCCTCCCACATGTTGGGGTAGGCCAGGTGCCTCAGTAAACTGTACAGTATAATATACTGTGTGTGTGTGTGTGTGTGTGTGTGTGTGTGTGTGTGTGTGTGTGTGTGTGTATATATATATATATATATATATATATATATATATATATATATATATATATACATACATACATACATACATACATACATACATACATACACATACACACACACACACAAATATTTGGCTTATTTCTGAAGCCCAGCAAGACAGACACAGACTTCAGAGGATCATTAGAACTGCAGAAAAAAACAATTGCTACCAACCTGCCTTCCATGGAGGACCTGTATACTGCACGAGTCAAAAAGAGGGCTGTGAAAATATCTACAGATCCCTTATATCCTGGACATTTCAACTCCTACCCTCAAAAGTACGCTATAGAGCACTGCACACCAGAACAACTAGATACAAGAACAGTTTTTTTCCCCGAACGCCATCACTCTGCTAAACAAATAATTCCCTCAACACTGTCAAACTAATTACTAAGTCTGCACTACTATTAATCTTCTCATCATTCCCATCACTCATCTCTGTCCATTTATGACTGTATGACTGTAACTTTGTTGCTTGTATCCTTACGATTTATATTGATATTGATTGTTTCCTGATTGCTTATTTG